TCAATCACCTAAAAAATTCTGTTAATTATTTATTATAATATGTATTCTACTGTTTGATTGGATATAATAAAAATATGTAGATGCCTAAATAGTTCACGTAGTCCTCGATAAAACCTACTACTTTCGACAGATTTTCTGTCTTTGCCACTAATTAGTCCGTTCCAGACTTTAAAATCCTCTTTAAATTTTGATTTAACAAGTGTTCTAGTATAGTGTTTTATTGGTAAAAAATCGATTTGTAAGCAAAAGATGTCATAAGCACCTAAATTTAAGAAAATTATGAAAACTAAAAAAAGTTCATGTCTTTTTGAAGTATACTTTTATAATCTATTTTGTCTCCAATAGAAGTCATATAATCATAAAAAAGGTAAACATCTTAGAAAAATAATAATGAAAATACAAAAAAATGTAATACTAAAATATAAGTCAAGTGTGAAACGCCGCATGGTGAAAAATAGTAAAAGATGCAGATTACATTATTATTTTGTAACATATTGCGACTCATCAACTGTATTAAGAGTAAGTAAGTAACAGAGAGTAATAATAAATGTTATAAATTTCGCACCTTATAAGAAAAGAAACTTTAATTTTTATTGCTACATTCTTTTTCCAAATTGTAACTTTTTCTTTAAAATTGCCCTTCCTCATCAAATGAAAACAAGCTCAGGTTTTATTAATAATGCTCCCTAAGATTTATGTACTATTAATTTTAGAGTATATACTTACTCAATTAAATTATGAAGCTAACACTGCAGAATATAAAGTCGGAGTAACAAACTTTTTAGATATCAAAAATGCTCATGCACATTTGATAACAAAAATCACTATAAATCGAGAAAACAATGTGGAAACCACTACAATCCAAAATAAATGTGGAAATCCCGATCGCGCTTCTTATATTTCTTTACAAAGCCATTTGTCATATTTGTAGTTAAGGGTACTCAAAAGATTAAGATGATAAGGAATGAAGTGTAATAAGTTTTAGTAGCAATTTTATAAATCGATACTTAAAAACGAAATATTTTAAAAACAGATACCGCAATCTTGTTATTGCAACATAATTATAAAAAAAACTAAGTCTTATAAGAACTGTTTGAAAAAAATACTCGTATATTTCAATTATAAGTAGACACATATATATTAGTTTTTGATGAAAAGTATTTGGCAACAGGAAGTAGCATTAATAATATGACAGCTTATCAAAAGACATGATTTCTAGTATCGATGCGAATCGCACTAATTGTAGAACATCTACGTACTACATATTAAATCTTGATAAATAAAAATACTGTGATAATGTAGATTTTAAACAACTTCGTTGTGCACAATTATGACACAGTAGTAACAGTATACTTTTTAAACAATTGTTTTTTTAACAATAGCTATTTTAATGCATCTACTCTTCACACTTGGAGCTTTTTAAAAATTTTCGATACCCAATGTCTCCGTATTCCTTACACATTCCAAATGGTAGTGTGTAAAATAACTTTGGCCAACTTCGACCACAACAATAATGCATTACAACATATTATTATTATGATTTGGTATTGTTGTTTACCAGAATGTACGTGGACCACAAACCAAATTAGACAATTTTCGGCTGATTGAAGTGCTGAAGATCTGTGACGTTCTTATCCTAGGTGAGAGGCTGCATGATTGTGAACCACTCGGGCTGGACAGCTTCATTATNTCGCTTTTGGAAGACCTTTTAAATAAATAAGGGTACCAAACACTTTATCCCAGTAAGGAGAACTCACACCAAAACCTAATAAATAAAACATGTGTGTTATATGATCTCTATAAACTTTATTATTGTGACTCAATGTAAAACAAAATGAAGGGACTTATGGGATACAAACAGGTATCTTACTTCTCACATTTTTTTTTTGTTGAGTAAATATTAGGAACTAGGTTTTACCCTCAACTTCTCACATAAAACTAATTTTTAAACTAAGCAATCATTTGGTATGTATAATATACTGCAAGAATTAATGTCATTATATCATCCCAGGAGCCTTATTCATTCCTACAAAACAGTTTTCGGAAAAATTGAGACTTAGGTACATATATATGTGTTTCGTTATATTTACTTTAAATGAATCTTACACAATAATTGGTGAGTGCTATTTATATAATAAATTTGTCCACACATTTGTTTACATAACATATTTAATTTTTTTCTCGTAATTTTATATTACATACACCTATATTCTATATAAAACATTGTATTGCATAAAATAATTAAGGCATTTAGTATGTTGTACCTTTTTTGAAAATATTTTTTCTAATAATTTTAATAAATCTGATGTTCATATGAAGTTTTCGGTGGTACATAATTGAATATAATTGTAAATTTATTTTTTTGTATTGTGGCCCAGTTCACATTTCGGCATTTTGCATTAGTCCAATAATGTATGTCCTAGATTATCGCCTAAAGGAACGATTAATAAATTTTCCACGAAATAAATGGCAACTTAAACCTTAAAATAGATACTACGCCTTCTACCAAGTTTTTTGTTTTAATTAATTAAACATATAATCTTGCATGACAGTTCGACATCACTGTAACTCTTTAATTGATTGTTTTTTTGTTGTAAAATATTACAAATTATGTTGCAATTATGTATTGCTATATAATCAACATTACGTCGTGACGTAGGTACATACATATGTATATGCTTAGTTTCAATTAAAATTAATTCTTGTGCTAATTTACTTTCATTTAACTTTCAATAAACAATTTATACAATATTTAGGATTAAAGAAGTTTATGCTATAAGAATATGTAGATGTGGAGTTATAATTTATTATATTTAAAAGTAATATTGTGGATTTCAGTATATAAAACCTTGTTAGTTTGATCGTTTTTTTGTAGCAGTTTTTTCATTTTACTTCGGCATTTTGGAAAATACTCAAATAGCAAAAATAATAAAGACAAGAAAAGACTTACTTCAAATTCGCCACAGAACGTATTTTATAAAAGTATGTTGTGATGAATTTGGGGGAAAGTTTTTTCTTGTTCTTATTATTCACCGCAATCTCCTTTGTAATTTTACTCAAATGGCATGAAAAATCTGTTATTTGAAAAGCATAAAAGTTGTAGTAGACAGACTAGAGAATTGTGCATGGTTCTGACAAGAACCGGGTTTAGTTTAGCGTTGGACACTTTTCAGCATCTATGATGAGAGTTGACACTATTGCGGTATTAGAAGATTGACACAATTTTAGCATCCGAAGATATGTGAGATTTACAGCTATTTATACTATCGTACATTTATTTACATGATTTTTATGAAAAAAGTTAGTTCAACAAGTAACAGTTGTGTACGCACATAACTCTGACCCAGTTGTCGTATTGTGTTGCGATTTTACGATGCTAGGCACAAAGGAATCACAGTTTTTTTGAAATGATATACTTTTAAATTATACCAATAAATCGTACACCCTACGGTTCTGTTATTCTTTTTAAAGTGTTTCAAATTAAACAAATTTGATTTCTTAAAAATAAACGAAAAATTAGATGTATTAACTCTACATGTTCATAAACTTTGCTTAAAATGATCCGAAGAACGATATATTTCAAAGCTAAAACAAGGTGTACCTACTTAGAACTATGCGAATTATATTTGTATTTTAAAACTTAGCCCAGGCCAAAATTTATGGTATTGATTAATTTATTTATTTTTGTTGTAAAGGTGCAGTTTACGTTGTTTTCCATAAATTGTTTTCGAGTGTTGCAATGCTAAAGGAAGATTCAAAATTTGCAACAACGCTAGGAAGTTACAACTATATTATCGGAACTTAATTGCCACATCTCGTACATCATTTTTCGATATTTATAAGTATTCCACATTCTCATGATTTAATGTTAGACGGCATTTTTATTACGTGTTTTTGGTTTATATCGTGCAAGCTTTATTTGTAACTTTCCCAATACTTGCTACAATGATCTATTTGCAATTTGATAATTTTAGTCCATTCCTGTTTCAAAACACAACTCTTGGTTTCGAGTGTTCAGATTAACAAATAACAATAACAAAAAATCATTTGAGCCAAAGTTTCATATTTATATCACACAGGGTTCGAATTTCTCGTATGCTGCAAGTTGTATGAATCATCGTTGCTTGCTCCTTACAGGCGGATCACGGGATAGAGCTCTGATATTAACTTTGAAAGAATCAATCAAATCACGAATAAAATCAATAATGTGTCGTCCGAAATTGGCCAATCGCGTCCAACGATTTTAAATTGCCACCGTGACATCTCTATACTATGGAATATCAATATACCGAGCGTTTCTAGACTGTTTTCAGATTCGATGCTGTGTTTTCTTTAGGGCTTTTTGGCCGTGGTCCGTGGAATATTACTTCACTCACACTTCACTTACTACACTCAGTAAGATTCCACGGACCACGCCCAAAAAGCCCGGAAGAAAACACAGCATCGATGTATGTCGGCCGTGAAAGCCTAAGAACTGTATTCAGATTTTAAATGTTTGAAATTACATATTTATTATTGTGGAAAATATTATTTCAAGAATACGGCGCCCTTAAGAGGAGGCTTGAAGATGTTCGAGGTCTTAAATGCATTATACGTTTTGAAATTATCTCTTCAGTAATAGGTAGTAGCATGATCATCAGTCACTTACGCTAATTTTTATTCAAGAGGTATTGTGACAAAGATTTTACAGGGAGGTTGTGAAAATGCAGTAAAAAATGTATTCAGAGGAGCAGGTTGATTATAGTAATAACAGAAGAGAACAATAACAAAAAAAAAATTGCGCAGTGAGATATTTACAAAATAAAAAAATATACCAAGAGCACGTGTGACAATAAGCTGTAAGATGTTGAGGTGTGGAAATACACATATACACAACTCATTATTATTTCATTTTATTTTAAAACTTTAATGTAACAAATACAAAATAAAATGAATCTCGACCTGCAAGATTCTTTCCTATGCTTACAAACGTAAATGAGTAAAATAAATAGACTATTGCATTATTATTTAAACAAATTGTCAGTCTTTATTAAGAAGAACTAGTAACTCAGTACCCATTAGGTATTTGTTTAGAATTCTGTAGGAATTGTCCAATTTATCGCTTTTGGAAGACCTTTTAAATAAATAAGGGTACCAAACACTTTATCCCAGTAAGGAGAACTCACACCAAAACCTAATAAATAAAACATGTGTCAATATAAATAGTTAAGTAGTTACTACTCTTTGGATGGTGTAAACTTACCGTCATTTTTGAAGTCAAAATGATGTTTATTGTGATATCTCTTTAAATCATATAGGAAAGTCTCAGCTGCAGGACAGCCATGATGAAGATAAAAATGAGTCATATCATAAATTAAGTACCCTGTAAAGAATAAACAGAAAAATAGTTTGAATGTCAAACAAAGCCTGTTTCGCAAAATTTAGAAATTAGAAATGTTTTTAAAAGAAGGTGTATTTCTCAATGCTTAAAGAAATAGGCCTAATAACTTAATTAGTGGAAAGCACTGATTGTTAGTTGAAACTCCAAGCAATTGTGTTTTGTAAAATTTAACAGCTGCAGATAATTTTTTCTAAAAAAAATATGTTTTCGAATGTACATATTATGTACACAAAAAAACTTAAGTTGATTAGGCACTGTCAACAACTGAAAACAACATTTGTATGTAAATGTAGAGTCTATAGTAAATAAATACCTATTTCCCATTTTTAAAGAGAAACACTTAAGATAAGACACGGATAAAAAAAGAATGGTATCTCACTGATAACGCTTGTAACTGAAAGGATTCTGAACTGTAATTTCTCCCCGAAATTATCTCTATTTTTTTCTAAATGTAAAAAATCCGAATCTACAGTATTTGTACATAATGTCATATTTTTATTGCTACAAATTCTTGAAACGGTTGTATTGCCTTCGTAGCTCTACTCTGCAGCACCTCGGTCAGTAAAATTAAAAGTTGCCACCCGCAATTGCCTTTGTAAAAATTTATTGTAAAGGTCTGTCTATTTCTAACTGAAATGAAGTTTCATAGTTTCATACTGACCGCATAGTTAGTGCAAAATATGTTTTGAAAATTGTTCAATTTTCCTTGTAAATAGCGTCAAAATATTACCGGTCTCTAACGTGACTATAACCAACTTCTACTGGATTCTATTGTATCAAACACAATCTTCAGTGCATTACGTATTAAAGTATTAATATTGTCAGATAATAATGCATAGAAGATTACATGTAAGACATGTAATTTTCAAATCTTCTAATGTAATATTAAATGTTACTGTTACAGTACCTAAACAGAAACCTCCAAATGTTAAATCTACCATGTGTGAAGGGAGAAGCCATGTAAATAGGTAATAAAAAGCTATTCCTATAATTCCTGCAGGCAGTGGTGGAAATAATAGACGATCTGCATCAAATGGAACCTTATGATGTATTCCGTGGATCATAAAATTTAGTGTTATTAGGAATGGAGAGGTTTTTGGATCTAAGTGAAATAACCATCGGTGAAGGGAGTACTCAGCAATAGACCATAAGCAAAGCCCAAATAATATGATCAGTGGAACATGCCATTGTGAAGTACCTAAAAAATAATCGTTATTAATACTAATTTTAAGTTTTCAATTTATTAAAATTATTATATATAAGACAAAGTATAAAATTAAAGTCAAACTTATCATTATATAGAATATCAGTAATACATAAGCGATATATTACATTATTGCTAGTTGGAGTTTTATATATAAAGTGAAAGTAATTAAAATTGGAACTGACGTAAACATTGCAAAATTTAGTGAATCCATAATTTATTGGCTATAAATGCAATTGCAATCCATTATTGTAATCTATCCTGATTCTTATGACAATGATATCGACATATATGACTTAACTTATTATTATATTGATTACTTACCTTTATTTGCATCATGGTATGAGAAAAATCCAGTATAGAAGAAGAAACTTATTATTGGAACCCAAACTAAAACAACGCTGTACCAAGAAGTTCTTGTAACACTTTCTAGGAATGAATTAGAAAATAATCTTACTGGTCGATCTACTGGAGATTCCACCCAGGTAGTATACATAGATCCTAATTTTCCTACCTGCAGTAGTAACGGTTTTGACCAATCTACCAAGTGCTAATCAAATAAAAAGAAATCATTAAGCATTCTCGAGTAAATTGTATTCTTAGGTTATTCGATAATATTTTCTCAATGAAGATTTGTTTGCACCAACCTCTAGATCTTCTACACCTTCTACTTGATCTTTTCCTAAACCACGAGTTTTACTTTCTGAGAATTCTTTCATTAAGTAAAATGCTGCATTGGAGGCATGGTAATTTTTCAGTAATTCTTCAGGAACTTCTTTATTTTTATAGGATTTTAAATAATTGTACCCTCCTGGGTGGTTTTGTAGAAAGTCTGTTAAGTCGTAGCTGTTGCCTTTATAATTAAGTTTGAATTTCATTTCAGACATTTTAAGAATACTTCAAATACCTGGAAAGAAACAAAATACGATTAATTAACCATGATTCTCAATCACCTAAAAAATTCTGTTAATTATTTATTATAATATGTATTCTACTGTTTGATTGGATATAATAAAAATATGTAGATGCCTAAATAGTTCACGTAGTCCTCGATAAAACCTACTACTTTCGACAGATTTTCTGTCTTTGCCACTAATTAGTCCGTTCCAGACTTTAAAATCCTCTTTAAATTTTGATTTAACAAGTGTTCTAGTATAGTGTTTTATTGGTAAAAAATCGATTTGTAAGCAAAAGATGTCATAAGCACCTAAATTTAAGAAAATTATGAAAACTAAAAAAAGTTCATGTCTTTTTGAAGTATACTTTTATAATCTATTTTGTCTCCAATAGAAGTCATATAATCATAAAAAAGGTAAACATCTTAGAAAAATAATAATGAAAATACAAAAAAATGTAATACTAAAATATAAGTCAAGTGTGAAACGCCGCATGGTGAAAAATAGTAAAAGATGCAGATTACATTATTATTTTGTAACATATTGCGACTCATCAACTGTATTAAGAGTAAGTAAGTAACAGAGAGTAATAATAAATGTTATAAATTTCGCACCTTATAAGAAAAGAAACTTTAATTTTTATTGCTACATTCTTTTTCCAAATTGTAACTTTTTCTTTAAAATTGCCCTTCCTCATCAAATGAAAACAAGCTCAGGTTTTATTAATAATGCTCCCTAAGATTTATGTACTATTAATTTTAGAGTATATACTTACTCAATTAAATTATGAAGCTAACACTGCAGAATATAAAGTCGGAGTAACAAACTTTTTAGATATCAAAAATGCTCATGCACATTTGATAACAAAAATCACTATAAATCGAGAAAACAATGTGGAAACCACTACAATCCAAAATAAATGTGGAAATCCCGATCGCGCTTCTTATATTTCTTTACAAAGCCATTTGTCATATTTGTAGTTAAGGGTACTCAAAAGATTAAGATGATAAGGAATGAAGTGTAATAAGTTTTAGTAGCAATTTTATAAATCGATACTTAAAAACGAAATATTTTAAAAACAGATACCGCAATCTTGTTATTGCAACATAATTATAAAAAAAACTAAGTCTTATAAGAACTGTTTGAAAAAAATACTCGTATATTTCAATTATAAGTAGACACATATATATTAGTTTTTGATGAAAAGTATTTGGCAACAGGAAGTAGCATTAATAATATGACAGCTTATCAAAAGACATGATTTCTAGTATCGATGCGAATCGCACTAATTGTAGAACATCTACGTACTACATATTAAATCTTGATAAATAAAAATACTGTGATAATGTAGATTTTAAACAACTTCGTTGTGCACAATTATGACACAGTAGTAACAGTATACTTTTTAAACAATTGTTTTTTTAACAATAGCTATTTTAATGCATCTACTCTTCACACTTGGAGCTTTTTAAAAATTTTCGATACCCAATGTCTCCGTATTCCTTACACATTCCAAATGGTAGTGTGTAAAATAACTTTGGCCAACTTCGACCACAACAATAATGCATTACAACATATTATTATGATTTGGTATTGTTGTTTACCAGAATGTACGTGGACCACAAACCAAATTAGACAATTTTCGGCTGATTGAAGTGCTGAAGATCTGTGACGTTCTTATCCTAGGTGAGAGGCTGCATGATTGTGAACCACTCGGGCTGGACAGCTTCATTATCTTCCACTGTGATTGACCTAGTGACAGAAGATAATGGAGCATACTGATAGCAGTGCGTGATAATATTTACATTCGTAGACTTCTATCCTAACAGAATGATCTGGAGGACCTGATTGTGGAATGGACAAACCACTCTAGCCGCCTATGACGCTACGAAACCATCACCAGCAGCCTATGAATGTATCCAAATTCACTGGATCAGCTACCTCAACTTACAATGTGGGATATCACCCTTATGAGCGATTTCAACCTACCCCACATCACTTGGTGAATGACACTTAAGTTATTACCTTTATATTTCAATAATTATCAAACATTATGTGAAATCAATTTAATTTCATCCCACTACAAATTACATAAAGTTAAGGAAAAATTTTGTTGCTGCAGTCACACCCTCGCTGAGAATCGAACCCGGGTCCGTTGATTTATGTAACAACTATAGCTTGGAGTGCTAGAATTGTTGAAATGGTTCGATGTAATATCGGAATAGCGAATTAATCCTTTGGCGTAGAAGTTGAACTTGACTACAGCTACCAGACAAACTTTACCAATTCATGGAGAATTTAACGTGAAAATTAGAATTGGAAATGCATTCTTATACAGTTGGATATAACATAGTAGATGTAATTATTGGAGGGGACCTTATTTACGAATATAGAATTGAACTTAAATGTGAGCACTTCTACAAGGCGCTTCAGTAACCAACAGATAGTAATGTCAAATCTTTAAACGAAGCTTGATGTCTATAAGATGGTTGTAGAGGAAGATCGAATACTACCAATTCACTCCAAAAAGAGAATTTGCAGGTATAGGACAACCACTACTTAGATTTGCAGAAGATGGAGCTTCATTCCAATGGACACTCGAATTCCAAAAAGCATTTGAAAACATACACTGTGGAACACTAATCTTGATATACCCACAGTTTAGCCAGTTCTTTATCATTGATGTCGACGCCAGTAATGTGGTGTTATCCCTAGTACAATATAAATACTTTAAAGTTATCTTATAAAGCAACTAACTTGTAGGCGATACACTGCCTGAACGTGAATATTATAAAACAATTTATACGTTAGGAGTCAGCAATCTATTGAGACTATCTAAGGCGCACTGATGAGACCGAATAAACTCGAAGGTTCCTCTAAAGAACGGGTCTCATCTTGCTGAAGTGATTACTGAAAGAACCTGGAAGGACAAGAATAATATTTCGATATGCAATATTTCGGAGTTCTTGGTAGACTGCAAATATTGCCCATTTGCGGAGAATAATGAAGAGAGTTATCAAGTTCTGAAAGTGATCGTCGAAGACTTTTACAAGTCTAGGAAGTCCTTTTCTATCCCGCATGAGCCCTACTAGGGCAGGTGCTCACGTTAAATCTCTACTAGTACATAAACCCGTCGTGAAGTAATCTGGGTGCGATTAACTGCACGCCTCAGTGACAAAGACATGAGAACCTCTACAACCGCAACGTTAAGTTTCTCTCCACTCATATCCTGAACGTTGAAGCCACAGCAAGGGCGAGCAACTTGAACATTGAGGAGATTATGTCGTGAAGCGAACGTGGGTGCTAGCCTGAATCGGGTGTGCAGTCTGGCCCATTAAGGGGGGGGCTGCATATTTAAGGCAATTCCTGATGAAATATAGGAAATGCAATACATGTAGCAAATGAAAAAATAAGTAATTAAACGAAATATCTATGTAAAAAAAAATTCTTATTTAAAACAGCATATTTCTCTAGATAGTCCTTTCTTAACGGTGCCGAGCTTCACAATATTCTTTAACTTAATGAAGATAGTATTCCATTTCCTTCTTAAGCTAAAAGTACCAGAATGATAAACATATTGTCACTTAATCAAACAGCTCCCTGACTACTGACTAATTTATTCTCTATTTACTATTAATATCTATTTACTCTTTATTCAACACATCTAGTTAGTTATTCATTCACAAGTATATTACACACTTTGTATCTTCTTCATTCTTTCTACTTCGTTTTGCATCACCTCGTAATTCAAACCAACTAACTGTTTCGACCTCGCAGCAACTAATTATAAGGGCTGATATTGTTCTAAACTGATCCAGAATGTAACATCTAGAAAATCTGGTTTTCTTTTTTACTATGTATATTGGGTTGCCTACACGTGATACTGTACGGGTTGCCTACATAGGAACGTACTAAACCCCTCGTAAAATTGATCGTACCGATCTGTGAAATTTCGCACGACGTCTTTTCCGCCTTTATGAATTATATGATCAAACTGTGTCGCCCTCATTTAACTCAGCAGAATTGGCTTATCTGGTCTTCATACGGTCACCTCCAAATCGCAGCTTCGTATGCACGGCATTATTGATGGTTTCTAGTCGTTTTTTCTCGATTTCTTCTACAATGTTCTATGAGATTCTCCGATTTTGGCAAAATCGTTCTTCTTTTTTCGCAAACTTTCTAATGAAGTACTTGCTAGGTACACCTTATATTTGAATCGATTAGACATAGTAATTGTCTGAATAATTAATAAAAAGTCCTGATATTAAGCATGTTAAACAAATTTTGTAACTGGTAGTCATCTAGTTGTTAACATAATAAAGATTCAATTTTACGGGAATCTGGTTGATTCCAAAGGCAGAATCAACTGAATGTTGAAGATTTACACATTATCTCAATTACTACGACCAGTATTATTTATTATGTCAAACAACGGCCTGGTGCAATTATTCGCGCATCTTATTCCGCCATATATATCCATGTTCCGCCCAAATACCTTGCCCAAACACCCCGCAGTATTATGGAATGTTCTTACCATGGTGAGCCCTGCTTCATGTTTGCCACGTAATCTACGCTAGTAGTGTATACCATAAACAAGCAAAGGGTGAAGTAGTAAGGTATGAATGATGGTTGGTACATATTAAGATACGCTAACAATACAGGCATAGGTCGAATTATGATGTTCTAAGTGACATCAACTTTCCTCCGTGAAGTTGCGGGACCTTGTCGCTGGAGGGGACAGTCATGAAGAGCATGCTGGTAAGGCCTCGGGATGTCTTATATCATTTGGAAATGGCATGGGGTCAGGGACGAAACGTAAGAAACCTCCAACGTTACCCAATGAATCTCTAGAAGCTGAACCCAAAAAGAAAGGATCAATGGTGGAAGGAGAATTGGTGTCAAATACGTTATCCGAGAGGATCACCAAATGCAAATCCTGAGACGTTCGACCAATGTAAAGAGAAAGACTTGTGACGTTGCGGGAGTTCAGAGGCTGTCACTAGATGAGAAAAGTGATGATTCTGTTTAAGACTGATCGCAAGTATACCGTGGTAGAATTGAAGGAAACCATCAAGGAAGAGGTATCACCGCAATTGAGGGTAGTTATAACCACGCACAGCGAAGGTGAAAACTTATAAAAGAAATTGTCATGACTCATGAGTCTGAAATATCTTGAAAAAGAAGAAGATCCCGAGTGTATCTGTTGATATGGCGGGACTGGCGTCGAGCAGTTCACCACTATGTAAACACTTTGTCACTTCTTCGCTCTTTCTTCTCTTTATATCGCCTTGAACTCTCTGACCCATACTAACTCCACTCGATCCTGCGACAACTATTTATAGAGATGAGCCGTTCCAGAATGTTCCAGTATATACCTTCTAGAAACCTGATCTCCTTTGCCAATGTGTGTTTGGTTTCCTACATACATGCATGTGACGGTATATAGCCAGAAATAGAAAGCTGGAAACCACGAAGGAAGAATGTAGATAGGTTTGCTAATTTTATAGAGGAGATCTTCGGAGGGGATTCCGACCATGCGGGGTCCTGCGAAAGCTGCGAAAAGAGATCGATGTTCGCGTCACAGGTGTGCATATTGTGAACGTTAACAGCCAGTGGGAGGTATTACCTTCACTATGCTCGAAGGGTCGTATATTGGGCAACGACAAACTGATTAAGAGAAGAACAACCAGGAAGTCTATTTCGATAAAAGACATCGATCTGTCCGTTATCTGTGACAAAATCGACGGGGCAATCGAGTCCTCAAGACAGAAAAGGGCTAAACAATCATAGGACTCAAACACAATGGTCAGGTGTCTCTTTACCTTCGCAGTGCAACCTTACTAATCGACAAATATCTTGGGCAGGAGCATACTTAAAGAAAGCGATTGAGGATTAGTTGAACGGCTTGCCGCATTGAAGAAAGGGTTTAAGGA